GAACAGGAAAGGATGAAAGCACAGACAGCTAACTCTTAAATTCTTATTCCCCTGCTGCTCTCCACCAGTGATGGGAAGGGGTATGTATATAACTTGGGTAGCTTTCTCATTCTGTGATGGGGATAACTCGGAGGCCCATCTCCTGCACTGGCTACCAGAGTTTCCCAGCTGGAATCAACCCAAATTATTAAAAGAGGAAATTTGCTGCTCACTCACACATTTGGGATTCTTTTGCATTCCCTGCCTCATTTCCCCATTCCTCTACTGTTCTTTTGCCTCCAAACTAAGCTTACATTCATTTCTTTGTCTCTAGGTCAGTTCCTAGGGGAATGCAAACTGAGCCCGCGAAGAAAGAGCATGGACAGTTCTATTGCAAGACTGGTGGACCAAGCTGGAGCCAGAAACTCAATTCAGATCCCCAACCACGGGTGGTAGGAACCAACTTCTTGAATCGTCACTCCTGTCTCTAAGAGTATGCATTTACAGGAAACTGGATTCAGAGGCACAGGCACGCGCATCTACTTGATAAAGCTAACTACAGTACTTTCTAGTAGTCCTTGAAATGCATAATTTTGCTCTAATAAAACGATCTTTTGTGTGCTTGAAACAAAAAACACCCTCAATAAAGACAATATCAAACACGTCCCCTGAATTCCTACAGGCACCGGAACACCCACTTTCAGATACAACACACTTTCAGATACAACCACCCCACAATTCTCACACGGCCAAATAAACAAGAAAATCGACATGCTCTAATGCACACACTGACCCCCAAACCGTGCACATGCCCTTATCGGTGTGCAGTAAGTGGCACTGACCTAACAGGTGAGCAGCACAGAAGTCACAAACCATACAATGTACAACCTCCTTTATTGTTAATTTCATGCACACAAGGTGTAGGCAAGGCATCCGTGATTTGACACCGGACTGGGAACTACAGTTACTATTCAACTGAGGCAGGCTGCTCACATCACTGACGCCTCTCCGTACTGAACCTAAGTGCTCCACTTCTCCTCAGCTGCACCACGTGCACAGGTCACACAGGACGCACCTGAGGACAGCACGCACTGGCAGCAGCCCGCGCTACCTGCTGGACTGCATCAGGGTCTTCCGTCCCGAGGAAGCGTCCCCAGCCTCAGCCTTGCTCAGAGTGCTAGCGACACCGGCGGGACACACTCAGGGTCCTCTGCGGTATTAAAGCCCCCTCACGTCAGGTTCAGGCACCGTCAGAACACGGGGAGCGCCCAGCCAGGACCGGCACCAAATTCTGCGGTATAGCCGCTCGCTCGCTCTGCAGCCAGCTGGCCACTCGGGCAGCTGGGCCGCACAGACCAAGGGTGAGCCCACCACACAGCGGGAACGATCACAAAGTGCAAAAACCACTCGGCAAGACTGGGGCTGGGGGGTCCATTACCTTCTAAGTAACGGACTCTCGGAGCGCCGCCATGGCCGCGATTCCGTGGGCATGCGCTCTCCTCGCGCCTGCGCATCACCTGGGTTGGACGCCCGCAACGGATGCTGGGAGACGTTGGAGGGCAACTGGAGCACGCCGGGAACCTGGCGCGCCCAGAGAGGGCGTGCGCATGCGTGCGGAGCGCGCCCCAGAGGTAGGCGTGCAGGGAGGCAGTATGAGATCTAGAAAGATTTTTGAGGTTTTTCCGCGACCAGACGAGTCCTGGAATCTTTGTGGCCGTCCCTCCATTAACCTAGCGCCTCTGAAACGACCCCTGATGGTTTGGAAGACGGCAGACGTCCACGCAGGCACGCGCACCCCAGGGAAGGACTCTTCCCAGGGCTGCACCCTAGAGCGAGGTCCCCTGCATTGGGGTCAGCGCTTGCAGCCTCTCCGGACTGCAGGTCTCTGAGGCTTGTCCGCGCCTCCCACAAACGCTGCCTCCTCTCTTCCCAGGCCTCCTGGGTTCCATGGAAGAGCAGTCTGGCCAAGAATATTGGACCTGGAAGCACTGAGGGACTCCAGTTCTTAGCTCCGTTCTTAGAGTTTGTCCTCTGGTATTTACTGCACTTGGGGAATTTATAGAATACAGGGAATTCTAAATAAACAGTGATTCGCAAATGCTTTCGTTGAAAATTTCTTACCATCCTAAGACGTGACAATCTGAACCACATAAAGTAAAAAATACCATGTAGTATAGGCGTAATTTTACAACAAAGAAACACTCATTCCTTAAGTTCCTGAGTACAAAACGTGGCCTCATCAACCCTGCAATATGAAGTTATTGCTTGAACCCCATGTAAGGGTGCCCACGATAAAAATACAAGTCTTTGAGAAGGCTCTTAAACTTGTTTATTTTTTAAGTCACACCCCTAGGGTTTTGTTTGTTTTGCCAGTCACCCTTACCTTGCTTGAATTGCTCCCACATTATCTTCTGAACATGGGTAGACCTCTTCCCAGTGCTTGCATGGAGAATAAAAACGTTGTTGAGTGTAAATGGGTGGTTCATGCTACAGAGGACTGAGGCTGCTAGCCCCTGGGTTATTCTCCAGGTGACTTCAATTCCAGGGCTAGGCCAAGCGGGAGCTAGGCGCATGGAACTTCAGTTCTTTTCAGGTCGCACCTGGATTCGTGAACCCAACAACTTGAGGCATCATCTGTGGTCTCCCAGGGTGCACATCGGCAGAAGGCTGGAAGGCCCAATTACTCCAGTACGTGAAGGGGACCTCTTCACTGCTAGACTCAACACCATCTGGAGTACCTGCAATATTTATGAGCTAAAGGCCCACTTTTTCTAAATACCTATCCTACAAACCAAAGAAAGTAACCACAAGTAACACACATTCATTCTGCACACCAGTAAAATGAACTATCAGAAACTAATTGAAAGTGTTTTCATAAACAAAACTCCTGTCTAAATACTTTTAGATAAAAATGTACACATCTCAAAAATTTCCTGTGGAAGGGAAAAGTGACCAGGATACTTTGTTGGGAGGAAGCCCCTTCCCTACGTATTCCATTTGACTTTTGAAATACAAAAACATGTGCACGTTACAATACTCCATGAAAAGCATTAAAAGGAGAAACAGCATACATTTCACAACACACACTGTCAGTACAATAAAAGGTTGGGGAGGGGATTCCTGAGTTAGTCTGTAAGCTTCAATATCAGTCCTTGATGGACAGAGGCGTTCCTACAGAGGACATCAGAAGTCAGACTTTCCTTGGAAATGCATTTTCAGCAGTGGACAGGACTTGGGGATGCAGACTGCTTCCCTCAGGATGAAGTGCACACACTGCAACTATCACGGATCCGCTGGTACCTCGTTTTCAGAAGGTCCCCTCTTCTCCCTGAGCAAGCCTGTGCTGATCACATCTTGTGTTCTGAAATTTGATGAGAAAGTGCCTCCCTGAATGTAGCTAGGAGCCTACCTTCCTCCACAGGTGGGAAGCAGGGTGGCCTAGGAACCAACAGTAGGTATATCGATATGGAACGGAAGTTAAGGAGGAACCAAGTACAGTCGGTGTGGGGAATCAGAGACTACTTTAACACTGCCTGAGGAGCTCACATCAGCTGTTTTGCCGCAGTTCAACTTCAAGAGAACTTGAGATTCTGCCCCACTGCAAGAGCCTCAGAATGTCTCCCCACCCCCACCCAGGCTGCTCTCCTGCCACCCCTCCCCCACCAGAGGAGCCTGAGCCCCACATTCCATTCCTGTTACCTTTAAACTTGCCCCAGCTGCTGCAGTTGGACCCTGAGCGGCCAGCTCACTGCTGGGACCTGAACTTGCTTCTCTCATTGAGGAGGCTGTGCTGAGTGTCCAAGCCTGTGGGGAGAGCTTCAGGAGGAGGTAAGTCTGTAGGGGTGGGGCTGTTTAACCAGATTCTTGCTACTACTCGGATACTTGGGAACTCACATGTGACACGTCCCCTGGGGACAAAAAACTGGAATGAAGTAGAAGAGACAGCCCTGGATGTCCACAAGGACATCCTACCTGGGGAGGCTGTGGAAGCCTACATTGAACGGACACTGCTGACTGGGGAGACTACTGACCACGTACAGGTGGATAAAGAGGCCCCACGGGAAGTGTACTGATGAGTAGAAGATACGGGAGCAAATGGATTCATTCTCTGTAAACCAGGAGAGGGACACAGGTCACTTCAGTCTGAGGGGTGTAGTGTGAGGATGGGCGGGGATGAGGTGGAGGCAGAGAGAGGGTTCAGGGTATAGCTGAGCCTACCCTTTCAGTCACAGGGAGCCTGCCCTTGAAAGGGCTCACAGGGTTTAGACAGGGGTATCTAGGTATTAGGATGCTGTGATGAAATGGGCTTAGCCATGAAAATGATCAGTTGGGCTCCTTCCCTTTTTCCCACTCTTCCTTGAGTGAGGCTGGAAATTACCCCAACCTCCACCGCCCAGATCCTCTTAGCTCTCTGCTTCCTGCCCAGTAGTGGTTTCTCTCACTCCAGGAAAGTTGTTTTTTCTGGATTCTGCAAGGACAGGAATGGCAATTAACATCAGGCAACAGAGGGCTTGGGTTTCCCCTAAGTGGTGTGCATTGTTCCTCTTGTAGTCGAAACACAAGTCTTTCACCCAAGTCATCCTACATCTCATGGTGGCCCCTGCCCAGGACTTTCCATAAAGATGATGGCAGTGCACGGACTCCACATCTGTACTTCACAGACAAATTCAGCTGGGCAGAGTGGCTGGATTTCCACAGGAAGTTTCAGTGAATGCTGTTTTCCACTTTTATTTGCATAAAGCTTATTTATTTGAGTAGCAGAGTGACACAGGAGGGGAGATAGTGAGGGCTTGACAAGCAATGGAAGAAGGAGAGAGGGAGAAAAGCGAGAGGGAGAGAGGCGAAGGGAGAGACGGAGAGGGAGAGAGAGAGAAAGAAAGGGAGGGAGAGGTGGAGGAAGGGAGAGAGATATCAACATCTTCTATCCCCTGTTACTCCCCAATGTCTGAAATAATCAGAGCTGGGCAAGGTCAAAGCCAGGAACCCAGAACACTGCCAGAGTCTCCAACAAAGGACAGGAATTCATGTGCTATGTCTTCATTTTCTGCCTCCCTTCTCACATTAGCAAGAAGCTGGATCAGAAGTACAGTTTGCCAGGGCTAGAACAAGCTCCAATATGTGATGTGGACATGCCAAGTTGCAGCTTAACTCACTGTGCCAAAAAAACCACACCTGTTTTTATATTAAAGAATGGAGAGCAGCAGTTAGGAAGGTTATGTTCAATCTGAAGACACGGGTCCTGATCCTCAGACGCAGGTGCACTGTGCCTGTTGTCATTTACTGGGCTCTGTGTGGTTCCTGGTCAGAGATGTCTTCCAGTACATATTGCCCCCCCAACTCCCTGACTCAAGCCTACTCCTCAAGCCTTCGCTTTCCATCACTGAGAGCATAAAGAACGATCCCAGAGAGTCACCATTCCCTCAACCAATTCTGATCTGACCCTTTAGAAACTACGAAATCCCAGACATCTCCCAGACAGCCCTACCAGTCACCACAATGTGGACTTTCCTACCCTATGCAGCCATCACTGATTGTATAAGGACACCATCTCAAGGGACCAACATCCTCCTAGCAGTCCTGTTCTTGGGGAACACAGCTTCTAGAGTGGCCAGAGGGACCACCAGGCCATGCAACCAGGGGTGGCCAATATACGCTCCCTGTGGTTTCAGCAGGGCCCTCTGAAGAGGAGTACCACCTGCTAGCAGGATGAAGTTAGCCTCAGAGATGACAAGGTTATGCTCATGAATCACAAGGCCATGGTAGGGAGAGGTTTCTTCCCAGACTTTTGACCTTCTTGTGCTAGGGTTTAAGGGAAGGGTTCCACTAAGAAGTGTCAGTTAAAGAAGCCTAAGGTGGGGTCTGTGTTCAGAGTTTGAATCAGCTGGCTTTACCTAGGCCAGGTGGCCACGTGGCACCACAGCTGTATAAGTCCCCTGGCTTGCTGTGGAGTACTGAGGAGCCCAGTGCCACTAGGGAGGCAATGCTGATCCAGGTGTTGGGAGACACCTATAGAACTAGGAGTCACCCTGTGTGACTCTACGGGCAGTGAGAACTCATTGTTCCATCCTGGCAATGAAGGGTATTTGAGAATTGCTATTCGAGAAGGGTATTGAGAATTGGTTCCCCTATTCCATTCACCCTTCTCCTTTGTCTCCACAGCATCTCCAGGGCTGGGAACAGCCATGATCACGCACCCAGGCACCGCCCCGTCTCTCGTCATGCTGCTGCCCTTTCCCCAACCAACTCACGGCCCTGCACCCCAGCCACCCTGGGGGCAGCCCCATCCACCCCTCCTGAATGTGGCATTCCCTCCAGGCAGCCGCCTCGTACTGCCTGCTGCCATCCCCAGGATGCCCGCGGTGGCTGGAGATGGTGGCTGCGGCCCAAATGGGGCTGGGAACGTCCACCTATTACTCCAGTTGAGGACAGGAGGGCAGCCAGTGGAGCCCCTCCATTCTCAGACCTTGGTCTACAACCAAACCCGTATCAGCCTCAATGCCCCAGAGGGGTTCTGTGGGGCAGGGCAGAACCCTGCTCCCATAGCAGTGCCTGGGTCTTCCCTACATGCTACAGTGCCTGCACCTACCATGGCGGGAACCCAGGCCAGTCAGGGGGGCTGGCCTCTGGGACTCCCTCCTCCAACTCCACCACCATCTGCCCAGCTGGCCCCAATGGTCTTCCCAGTTAACAACGGGCCACCACCACAAGGGGCAGACAAGGAGTGTATCCTGCCTACTCCCAAGGCCCAAGCCTCACCAGAGGACCCCTGCAACTCCACCAGCGTCTACGAGAACTTCCGGCGCTGGCAGCACTTCAAGGCCCTGGCCCGGAGGCTCCTGCCCCAGAGCCCTGACACAGAAGCTCTGTCCTGCTTCCTCATGTGAGCACCCATGCCCAGGGCCTGGGGCAGTGCATTGGGAGGATCACGGGGTGGGCAACGTAGCCTATGAGGGCTCCCAAAGGAAGACCCTGAAGGCAATCGAGAGACCACATGCAGTTCCATTGTCAGCCATGCTACCTCATGCTGCGTGTGACACGATTCCAGGGCCTTTCCCCACTGGATCTTAGCTATCCTGTGATAACATTTACTTTCCACCATTTCCAGGGTGACCCTTACAGAACACTCAAGGTCAGAGGGGGTCCTGGGATCACAAGAGCCACCACTGGGGTTTGAGTCTGAGTCCACACAGCAATCCCTGTCCACCACTGGCATGTATGCAGAGGGTCACAGACCTCAGGGACTTGACGTGAGGGGCGATAAGGAGGGAAGTCTTATACACAGCCCAACCTTCACTCTTCCCGGGACTTCCAGGAAGACAGAAGGTGGTCAGGAACTCACCCTGGGCCACGCTGGGGCCCCAACACGAGGGTCTGTCTCAGGCCAGCACTGACATCACAGCCCAGAGCCCTCATAGGGGAGGAGACGCTCGCACCCATTCCCAGGGAGCTGAAGGTCACTGCAGCTGAACCTGCTGAGCTTGGCACAGGCCAGGCACAAGCTCTGTCTCAGGAAACGACTGCAGTCATGCCATCATGAGGAAAAGACAATGAGGTGAAGAACAGAGCCACAGCCCGAACTCCATGGTCCAGGCTGTGACCGGACTCTGAGCCCCTAAGGCAAGAACGCAGGCCACTGTCTGGGGCTGCTGGGGACCAAACCAGAGGGAGCCTTCCCCGCAGTGGCAAACTCCCCTTTCTTGACCACTCGGGCCCGGCTCCTCCTGTCTATCACCATCACGACAGACACAGCCACCTTCCACTGAGCAGGGCACTGCGTCCATGTCGCGCCCACCTCTGACCTCCCGGCCGCATCGGCACTCAGCCTGCAGCTGAAAGCAGTCTCCACGCCTTGGTGTTGACGTCTCCATCTCCCTGCCGCTCTGGACACTCAGCATTGCCCAGGAGGCACATCACCCCCAACTCAGTCCCCATGCACTGAGCTTGGTCCCCTAATCAGGGCACAGCCTGCATGGCTCCCTTCCTTCTCCCCACTCCCAGGAGCTCTGAGGTCCCAACTCCAGTGAGGCCTCTGGCCAGCAACTATAAAGCAGGTTACACGCTCAGCCCTGGGGCCAGGAACACGCACCAGAGCCCTGGCACCCAGGTCAGATCATTCTGTGTGCTTCTCCCTTTGGGCTGCACTGCACAAGGCCACACACTGGACAGTTTCAGCCACAGATGTTCATGTGTCACGTCTGGAGGCTGGAAGACTGAGCACAGGACATGGCTGGATTCAGATTCCGGTGAGGCTGCTCTTCCTGAGACAGGACCTTCCCACTGTCTTCATTTGAGAGTCAAGCTATGGCGAGTCTTGCTTCTCCTCTAAGGACACCAGTACTATCACGGGAGCTGCAGCCTTAGCACCTCTCCTAACCCTAACTGCACCACAGACACCACCTCAGACCCCATCACACTGAGGATTAGGACTTGCACACATGTATTTACGGGATACAAGCATCCAATTCATGCTGCACAGTGACACTGAAGCTGCAAAAGGAAGACAGAGAGGCCAGCACAGCCCTGGGAGTGGGTAACCCCCAGATGAGAGGTGGCCAGGAGGCTGGAGAGCCCACACTGGAGGAGGACACGACAGGGACAGAGGGAAAGGGAGACCCCAGCACAGTAGTCAGAGCCCTGAGCTCAGGTGGCAGGGTGGGCTTGTGCATTTTCACTGACTCCAGGGAATTAATTCCAGCCCCGTGCTGCGGACCCTGGCCCAGCGGAGGCCCACCATGCCGCTGGAGGAGGGCCTGCGGTTTGCCTTGCGGGAATGGCAGCACAAGAGCAACTTCGACCGCATGATCTTCTACGAGATGGCAGAAAAGTGAGTTGGGAGTCCGAGTCCCGGTGCTGTGTGGTGGAGGAGGCTGGGGAGGGAGGCTGGGCCTGAGGGGCTGGACGTGTGAGCACACACACGCCATTCCTTGGAACAGGCACTCCGTGAGCCCTGCTCTCCCAGGATACTGCCCCACCACCTGGATGTAGGGTTCTAGGCACTCTCCTCCCTGGGAGTACTCCCCATCTGTGTCTGAGCTACCGAGGCTCTGACGTTCAAGGTCGAGGTGGAGCAGCCAGGGCAGCCCTTGTGGTTCCTCCCACCACGAGGACTCTGCACATGGCACGACCTCCTTCGGAGCTTCTGCCTCACACCCTGGAGGGGGGGCTGTGGACAGATGTGTTGTCACGGTGAAGCGCCATCCCAGAATGTGCTGCAACCCAGAGTGTGTCCTCAGGGATCTGGTGTCTCAGACACACGGCCCTGTCTGCATTTCTGCCGGTTCATGCAGTATGATAAGTTGAAACACACAGCACTCAGAGGCCATGCCCACCTCTCAGCCAGGCCTCCCATCCTCCTGCCTGCCCCTGGACCCTAATCCCTGCTCCCCCTACAAGGGTCACAGTCTCGGGCTCAGGATCTTTGATTCTGAACTAGGACCCAAAAGCGCTTGTGATCAATGTCCTTTTGCGCAGCCTCTGGAGTCAGCCCTACTTGGGGCTCTGTGTGGGGCCAGACCAGGCATGGAAGTGGTGAGATCTGCTGTGCCTTTGTTAACTGGGCCTGCAGGGGATCAGAGACACACGTCACCTGCCCGTGCAGGGCAGAACAGAGCACTGTTCCCAGCATGTTTTACCCCTGTGGGACTGACCAGACTTGGGCCTCGCTGAGCCCAAGGGACACGTGCATGTGTCCGCCACCAGCTGCCACCAGAATGCTGTCAGGACGTGGGCCCCTCACGTTTGGCCTGTGTCCCCCACGCTCAGGTTCATGGAGTTTGAGGAAGAGGAGGAGATTCAGATGCAGAAGCTGGAGTGGATGAAGGGGAAACCTTGCCAGCCCCCACTGGTCTCACCAGCACTGCTTCCTCAAGGGCCCCCAGCCCCTGTGGCTGTCCAGCAGCCAGGTACAGTCTCCCGTGTCCCAACACAGTCCGTGGCAGAGGCCAACGCAACCCCAGGATTTGCTGTCCCCTCGTCTGGGCCTTTCCTTCAAGAGCAGCATGTGTTCCCTTGTGCAGAATGTCCACGGGCAGCCCAGGGGCCCACATGCTTTGGGCCATTACCTGGGGATTTTTTCATGCCTCAGTCCTAGTGCCTCTCATCCCTTAGCTTCCCAAGGAGCCAGCAAACTACCAGGATGGGGTCTGGAGATAAGAACACAGAGTGCTGGTGACAGATGTTCCACCTCTCGGCCCCATCTCCTCTCTCGGATGCTTTTGTCAGCTTCTCCTGGCCCAGCGTGACCACTCATGTCCTCCAACAACTGTCCACCCCACTGCAGCTGACATGACGCTGGAGCCCCTGCACTCACACCATGTTCCCATCCACAGGGTGTGCCCCCAGGAAGGCCAGCTCCAAGGCCCTGCCTGCCTGTCCAGTGCCACCCAGACACCAGGGGCCTCAGGAAAAGACACCCAAGGAGATCCCACCAGAGGCCGTGAAGGAGTACATGGAAATCATGGACACGTTGCTGGGGCCAACACCCTTGTCCTTGGAGCCTCCCGATGGCCACCCAGAAGAGGACAGAGATGAAGGCTTCCTGGAGAATGAGGGGTCATGCCCGGACCCGGAAATGCTGTCCTACATTGACCATCTATGCTCCCAGGTGGATTTTGTCACCAAGGTGGGTTGGGGTGCAGCACTGGGATGCAAGATCCAAAAAATGACCCTGCCAGGCCCTTAAGCCAAATGCAAGTTCTTCACCACTGCCTTTGTGTTCCTCAGTGAGGGAGGGAGGGAGGGAGTGAAGCTGACTGCCCACTGATGTACACCCCAGAGTGTGAACAGTGATGGGGCCGTCATTGCTCTCTGGTTCTGTTCAAGTTCCCATCATCTCAGGTGCTTCATGCAAGGATGATCATGGACATCTTGCATCTCTTCTAGGCGGAGGCCATCATTCACCCCAGATTCCTGGAAGAACTGCTTTCCCCAGATCCACAGCTGGACCTCACGGCCCTGCCCAAGGAGCTGGAGAAGGAGGAAGGGCTGACTGCTGACCAGGTAAAGGACAGAAGGTGGTCAGCAGGTAGAGCAGGCATAGCATGTAGACAGGGCAGAGAGGGGAACCAGGAAAGCAGGGGATTGGGGGCAGCATGCAGACAGGGCAGGGAGGGGCACTAGGAAACCAGGGGTTTTGGGACAGCAGGTAGACAGGACAAGGAGGGGCACCTAGGTAGACTGGTGGTAGAAGTGGGGACCCCAGCATGGCAGACCCAGATCATTTTGTCTCCCCCTACTCTGCTGGGGAAAAATGACTTCTTGAGGAGCTGCTTCGGGTGGGGTGCAGGTGCACACATGTGTTAAGGAGACAGAAGAGCCAGTTCCAGGTTAGGGTACAGGGCTAGAATGAGGCCCAAGTGGGTGGAGGCAGAACCCCTCACACTAATGGGACCAGCCCAGAGACTCAGGCCTTTCTGCCTCCTCCCGAGTACCTGCTGTGCACTCCCTGGCCGCCCTCACACCTGGCACAGCCACTAAGGGCCTGTTTCCTCTGCAGGTGATGGCGAAGCACTGCTCCTTGAAAGAGGATGGGGCCGTGGGGGCAACCCCCAGTCATGGTGTGCCCCAACTGAACCCCAGCAATTCTGAATCTGGACCCCAAAAAAGTGCGCAGAGTGACAACCAGGGCCCCCCGCCTTGGGGACAGAGCTGAGTGCTACTCCTGGTCGATGCCTTCCCAAGACCTGCAGAGACATGCTGTCCCAGACACCCCCCTGTGCAGGCCTGAGGTTAATGCTGTCTTTAGTGGACATCGGGAGTGTCCCTCACTGGGGGCCACCAAGATGCCAGGAGTTTCAGAGGAGGACCCTCTGTTGAGGGCCCGCACACACCATTGGACAACTCCAGTGAGAACGAGGAGGAACTTCCCAGTCTCTCCTTCCTCCTGGCCTCCCAGCACCACCTGCTGCCCTTGGGCTTTGCACGGAGCGAGGCCTCTGCTGAAGACCTGCCCTGCCTTGGAGCTGGGAATCCTTGCAGAGCACCCAAAACCCCTGTCTACCCACTTAAGGGATCCTAGGGGACCCCTCCCACATGCTGCAAAGTCCAGGAAGCAAGCTCTGCAGGGAGGCCAGGGCCCTGCAATAAAGAAGCCCTGCCCAGTGCCTCAGCTCAGGGCTTCTGGAGGGCAGGCCCAGGCTCTGGGCTCTGTGGGAAACTCCCAGGCTCAGAAGAGGAAACATGACCACTTGGTCACCAGGAGGAGGAAGAAGCACCATTCAGCCCACTAGGTGGCGCCAGGGCTCTGGGAGCAGCTCCTCCAGGTGCAGCCTGAAGCACATGGACCCTAACTCTGCCCTGCACCCAAAGTGCTGACCCTACTGTTCCTCACCACAAGAGGGCGACTCTAGGAGCCCCGGGTGGAGGGACCTGGGGCAGGAGTGTGGAATCATCCCTTTGGGACTTTGTTTTGTGTAAATAAAGGAAGTTACATTGGAAATCGTCTCTGCTCTGCTGCCCTCTGTCCTGGCGTCAGTGGGGAGTGGACGGTGAGGCGAGACAGACGGGGATGCCTGCTCATGGCTGCACAGCGGCCTGACCGACGTCTCCCTCCGGGTTCACACACTTCTACCCCGGCTGCTAGTGCCCCGCACCATCACCGCCCACACAAGCCCTCATTTGTTCTGGGTCCTCCTGAGCCCCGCTGTCCTTTGTGTCCTATAAATGTCTTCCTGGGAGCTGCTTCTGAGCCGTCAGACGAGGGCCCCAGGAGCAGAGTTTGAGAACTGAGCTTGGAGAGGGCACCCTCCCGAGGGGGCTCCTTTCTGCTCCCGTGAAGCAGCTCCTGGCAGGCCTGGTCCCTCCTCAGTGTGGGTCTGGGGAGGTGGAAAGCGCTGGCTTTGGGAAAAGAGGCTGCGGCATCTGGGGAAATGGAGGCCGACAAACTGAGCAGCACTGATGGCCGCCAAAGCCAAGGGCTGTGCTTTCTCATTCACCAGGGGGGACTGCTCACAGGGGGACCTCAGCACTGCAGGAGGTCCTGGACGGCTCTGTGCCCTGGGCAGCACTGGGGGTGGCCCTCACTGGTCCTAACAGGCGGCCCCATGCTGTCCCAGAGGCCGGGAAAAGGGCGGGCCAGCACGAGTCTGCTCATCAGTGTACCACAGGCAGTGGCTGGCACAAGCCTCCTGGCAGACAAGAGAAGGGCTGGCTCCTGGGACACACGGGGGCAGCTGAGGCCCTTCGCAGCCCCTGCAGTTTCTGTGAAGGCGTCCTGGGCTGGGAGGAAAGAACCTGGGCGGCACCACGGGGGCTCTCAGGACCTGACTCCTACCCTAGACAGGCTCTGCAGTGTCCAGACCAGCACGGCCCTGTGAAGGACTTCAAACCCCACTAACTAAGCTCTGTTCCCTGTCACCAGCACAGGTGCCTTGTGTGCAAGCCTCTCACTAACTTCAGACAAAACATTCATGACTAAGGCTGCCCTGGGCTGGCTCTCATTCCCCCCATCTCAGACTCCCCGAAGGACGAATTCCACCTCTGATGCAACACCCCTTCCTGCAGTGTCCAGAGATTCTCATTTTCTTCAATTACTGCTGCTTGGTTGTGAAATCAAGAGAATGTAAGGAACCACTGTGATGTAGCGGGTAAAGCTGCCACCTGCAGCACCAGCATTCCATATGGGCGCCGGTTCGAGTCTCAGCTGCTCCACTTCCAATCCAGTTCTCTGCTGTGGCCTGAGAAAGCAGTGGAGGATGGCTCAAGTCATTGGGCCCCTGCACCCACATGGCAGACCCAGAAGAAGCTCCAGGCTCCTGGCTTTGGATCAGGTCAGCTCCAGTCATTGTGGGCCATTTGGGGAGTGATTCAGCAGATGGAAGAACCTCTCTGTCTCTGCCTCTGCCTCTCTGTAACTCTGCCTTCAAATAAATAAATAAAAAAAGAACTTCAGTAAAAAAATAATAATACTACCCTCACAGCATGAGTTACGACTGTTCCGGTTCTACTTTGGAACAGCTGAAGGGGATTGATATTCATTTTTTAAGAGAAATTGATTTTTTTTTTCATTTTATTTGAAAGGTACAAGAGGAAGGGAGAAGAAGAGAGGGAGGGAGATGGAGAAAAGGGAGAGGGAGAAAATACCCCTATGTGCTGCATCACTCCCAAGCTGGCAATGGCCTGGGGCTGGGTTGAGTCCATGCAGTATCTTCCGCTATAATCTGTTATTATGCAAGAGCCCTATTGATGAGGTGGGGAGGTGTTGGAGGGGAGGCATTCTGTAACCTGTGATTTTACTGAACCTGGGCTACTGTCCTGTGACCTTCACATGACCTCTGAGTAGCCCTCACCCCAACCATGTGTGGAAGAAACGCAAGAGCGTGCTGGAGTTTGGCTTTTCTTGTCCACCAAGTCAGTTAGGTGCTGGTAAACCCTCCAAAGAAAACCTCGCGTAAGAGCTGCTGTTGACGGTAGGCTTTTGTAAGCAGGGCTGATGGTCTCTTCACATTTCACAGTCGTCACATGGCCGTCCCTGTCAGAAGCAGGACAGGATCTCCCTCTTATCCACGCACCAAGAGCTTGAGCAGGCTGCTGAGGTATACTCAGGCACCCCAGCACCTACGTCCCTCTCTCGTCCTCCAGTCACAGGCCAGGACCCCTTTCCTCACGTCCTGGTTTGGACGCAGCCATGCTCAGTCACGCTACGCCCCAGCTTTCCCTCCCTGAGGTCCACTGCAGTTCAGTCTTCCCTTTAAAACCCCAGCCGTGCTGCTCCTCTACTCGGAAAGCCCTGGATCCTCTGCACTGTGGGTCCTGAGTAGGACGTCTCACTCCTTCCGCAGGCCTGGGTGCCCCCGTAGCAGGCACGTTCTGTGAGAGGCAGAATCAGCCTTCTCCCCTGACGGTGCCCCTTAGTGTCCCCCTACACACCTGCTCTTCTCCTGGGATCCCACACTTGAGAGTCCTCCTGCAAGGTCTCCTTTCTGAACAAGGGAACTGTATGGTGACCCCAAGGGGAAGGGCGGGCATGGAGAGCATGAGAGATCAGCAGAGGAGCAGGGTGGGTCATTGCTTTCCTCTGCCTCTGCCACACCTAGTTTGAGGGTGGGCAGAAGAGCCAAGGAGAAGTGTCAGGCAAGGACACTGGGACACGGGATGAAAGGCGCTGAATGCCCACAGGTCACGTCAAGGCTTTCTGGGAGGCCCTGAGGATAAATGGCAGCAGAAGCCAGGTAAGCACAGTTCTGGAGGGCTGTGTGGGGTCCAGGTGAACAACAGGCTGGTGTAGGATGGAGCAGATGCTGGGTCTGGGGAAGGAGTGGGCCTTGTGATTCTGTCAACCCAGCCCACTGAGCAGGAGACCCTGGGAAGATGCTGGGGTAGACGCAGTGCCAGCAGATCAGACCCACACTGGCCTGTTTCACCAGTCCCCAGACTTTGGGAAGGTAGCAAACTAGGGGCTCCAGAACCACACTTCCTCCACCCACTGGGAGGGTGCGGCTTGTACAAACAAGGTGAGGACACCTGTGTCAGGACCTAGGGTGTCACAGGAAGCCACAGGCAGTTAACAGAGCCAGCCTGCTGCTAGGCACAGGGTGCCAAGTTGGCAGGCACCAGGCAGAGATAGGACCAAAAAGACGCCAGCAAAGAAGAAAAGGTAGAAGCCATTGACAGGGAGAGAAAAGGGGGACTTGGTGCGATCACAATTCGATGGCCTCCGGGTGTCCTCGTCCTCATCCCTGGGACCTGGGACTAAGTGGCTTCATGTGCAGAAAGACTTTGCACACGGGATGGAGCTGGGGGACCTGAGATGGTAGAGGACCCTGGAGTACTCAGGTACCATCCCTGATGTCCTTCTAAGGGGATGGGGCAGCAGGGGGCAGGGGAAGAAGGAAGATGAGGACAGAAGCAGAGGTTGGCTGGATGCACTTTGAGGATGCAGGAATAGGTCACTGGCCAGGGTGTGCTGCAACCCGGAGAAGCTGGAAAGGCGGGAGCGGAATGTGCACGAGGGGCTCACTAGGAACCAGGTGGCCCACACCTGGACTCTGGCCCTCCAGGTCTATTAGTCACTCAGTGTCAGCCACTGGGCTCCCAGGTGGTGCTGACTGGATACTGTGTGCTGGGGAATTCACATCAGGGTCCTCCTGAGGACAGTGCTGTGCCTGTGCTGTTGTTCCCTTCTTGGGCTCCCCAGTGAGTGCCCCTCCCCCGCCTTCCTCTCACTGTGCCTCCACCCAGTCTGAGAAGCAGCAGCAGGCCACCTGCACAGTGGGTGCTGTCTGCTCCAGGCCATGCAATGAATGCTATGAGCTATGGGGTCCCCAACATCACCCTGGATTTTGTGCTGGTGGGGGAAGCACCAAAGGACCTCAGCAGTCTCCAGGCCCTTGGGGAGCTCCAAGAGGGTAAAGTCCCACTTCTTAGGACCCTATGCAGGGGCAGGTCTGAGACAGGCACTAAGAACAAGTGCAGCTCAGACACAGGGAGATGGACAAGATCTGGAACTGGAGGGCCAGCACTTGTTCAGCATCTGCTGAATGCCAGGCAATGTGCTTAATTTTCTGTAGGAACCTTAAGACCAAGCCCATTTCCAGGTTAGGAAACCTGGCTAAGGTCACAGTGCAGGCGGATGACCGACCACAGACTGCAGCCAGGCCTGTCCTGGCCCACATGTGAGCACTGAGTCACTCCGCAGCACGTGTCTCCCAGAGCTGTGTCTTGGCACTCTGGTAGGGCGGGTGCAATTCAGGGCAGAGCAGGGAGCCCTGGGGAGGAGTTGGGGACCAGGTCAGGGAGGGGAGGAATCCTGAGTGTTCCCAGACACAGGCAGTGGTGATGGACAGGGTGAAGAAAGAGCAGGGGTGCTTGTCTGGACTCTGAGAAGTCCAGCTCAGCAGTGCCCTGGCCTTGGGAAGGTACAACAGGAAGGCAGGGCTGTATGTGCATGACGGTGTGCCCATCAGGTGCACTGTCAAGGGCACTGGCCCTGAGACACCACAACAGGGCCTTTTCAGGAGAAGGCAGGCGCAGGGCCACGCTGGAGAGGAGGTCCAGCCCTAGCCCTGCACTCAGCAGGCCCCTTGCTCTGCCTGTGGGTGCAGCAGACTCTCAGGAGGGGGCCCAGGTGAGACAGCCTGAAAGAAGCAATGAGGCGTGTAGGACAGGGAACCAACAGACCTGGAACCTCCTCCCACAAGGAGGGCAGGGAACTGAAGGCCCTCCCTGTAGCTCAGCAAGCTCACTGGGTAGCAATGAAAACTGAGTTACTGGTGCAGGCACTGTATGTAGCACCACCTGCAGTGCTAGCCTTCCTATGGGTGCCAGTTCAAATCCCTGCTACTCTACTTCCCATCCAACCCCCTGCTAATGAGACAGATAAAAGCAGTGGAGTGTGGCCCAAGCACTTGGGCCCCTGCCACCCAGATGGCAGACCCTGATGATGTTCCTGGCTCCTGGCTTCAGCCTGGCCCAGCCCTGGATGTAGTGGCCATGTGGGGAGTGAAAGTGTAGGTGAAAGATCCTCTCTCTGTGTTTCTCCTCTCTCTCTGCAAGTGTGACTTCAGATTAAATAACAAATCTTTTTATAAAAACTAAATTGCCAATGGACCATTCCTATTGCCAGGACGACTCAGTGTTCAGAGTGGGGACAGCAAACACCAGGTTCTAGATTTCAATCTGTTGTTTTGCTAGTGGTATGATTTAGCCAAATGCATTCAGTTATAAAAGCTTGCCATAATAAGTTGTCATTAACTAGGTAGTTTGGAAATAAGAGAAACTGATTCTCATGATTCTGGAAGCCAGAAGTCAAAAGCCAGGTGTTGTCAAAGTCACTCCGCCTTAAAAAGACTGCAGGAGGAATTCCTCACCTCTGCTTACTTCTGGTCGCTGTTGGTGCTTTGTGGCTTCTAACTGTATCACTCCAGCCTCTGCCTCCATCTCCACGGGAATATCTTACCTCTGTGTGTCTTCATGGATCCTCTTATTTTTTAACACCTTCATTTTTATTTATTTGAGAGTTGGAGAGAGACAGAGACAAAGAATGACAGGCAGAGATCGTCCATCTCTTAGTCTACTTGCCTAAAGCTCTTGAAAGGCAGGGATGGGCCAGACTGAAGGTAGAGTTGGGA